TCGAGATAATACTCTTTGGTATGCAACCAAAAGTTTCATCCTTACTCCGTCTATAAGCATGAGCTAACTTATTTAATATTTTACATAGTGTTCACCACATAATCTATTTGGCCGAGATGATCATTTTGTATATTATCATTATACACAAGGTTCTACCTTGAATTTCTTATTTTACTTCTTTAGGAAGAATTTAGTTGGTTGTACCACATCTCACCAACAACTTTAAATAATGAAACTATTTATCATTTAATTATCTTTCATCTCGGGTACTCGAGTCCATCCAGGACTTTCACATATGACTCAATAGTCATTGTAATAATGTTGCCATAAATATTAACTTGCGGAATCATTGATAATGAGAGAACTTATCTAAATAAACATTTGGGTCTCTGCATAAACCCATGAGCATAATCTCGCTATATTTACTCACACCACCACATCACATGTTTCATATAAATATTCATTATCCTTCTGGGATATGCTATCCTCCTGGGATATATCGTGTAGCGAGTGAAGCTCTGCCTCAATTTTTCTTTCTATCTCAATTAGCCTAAGTGCTTCTAGCACTTTCATTATTCTGATCCGGATCATTATATGAGATAGTAAAGAAATCACATAGGCAAGTATGTTGTCGACAACTATGATATTCAACTTATATTTTTCTCTCAACCATATATGCAACTTCTTATTTATTAGCCATATTTATAATCATTTCCCATAATATCTAATTTTGGCCGTTCCGCATTTCCAGTACTATAATGGTTTGATGCACGTGCAAGATGTACTGGATCAACTCTTCAGGAGTTTCTCATAAAGGAGTGTTAATTCTTGAATATACATTTTCCGCGGACTTTCATACATCATATATTTATTATATCTCCTTATGCTTCTAGCACTAAGGAGTCAATCATTCCCTAGGAAATTTGCTTACTTTGTGGTACATCGATATATTTATAAATTGGCCACTCCATTATTATTATAGATTTCACTTGGCAGAAATATAATATGAACTTCAAGTTCAATATTTATTGCGTGGTTTAAACTAATTTATATTTCACATATTTCATGGCATTAATAAACTTATGCTCATATCTCCCCCTAATGCCATGAAATCATCTTCATGTATTATGCAAAACACGTACCAAATAATAAACTGATCCCCATAAGGGCCTCTAGGTATTAAAGATTCAACGGAGTATAAAAAAAATAGCATACCTAGTTTGTAATATAGGCCCATAAAAGTACGAATTGGTGGTGATAAAAAAAAATGTAACAATAAATTGCAGATGAGAAATGCTTGATTCTCCACGCATTTTAGGGGGAAATTATCATAAATAATTGCCCAATATGATCCAACTGCTCATGCTAATTATCAAATATATAAGTTGGGCATCGAAGTATAATAATTCATTTCTAAGTGAACACTATATGCTTCAGGCACTACAACTATACTTTGCTTGTGAGCCTTTTATTGTAGCTATAAACTATATTATATGCTTCAGGCACCACATATAAATTAACATTATAGCTATCAACAATATAAGTCTGTGGTATGCATCTCATCAAATATACAAGCAAACATAAATAATTTCATAATACTTTTGTATAGATTCAATCTATGTAACATTCTGGTTACATAACTTCATTAAAAGTATGTTGAATATGCAGAGCTGATCTAAAATAAAAAAAATCACGAATTTATCCAAAAATCAACGAGATTACTTACTAGATCAATTTGTCAAAGATCCTCGCTAGATAATTCTAATGTAATTTTGGTACTGGTCAACAGGACCAATCCTTCAAGGATAACCAAATCTAGGTCGATATTGAAATTCACTAGTGATACTTTTAATTATATAATCCTTCAGGGAAACTCATATCTATAAGTATAAAATTCAAGAGGATATATGCTCTGCAATTTATGACTATACAAATTGCATACCGTTCATTTCGTTCATTAGTCAATTAGACTAAAGTTGAAGATATTTAAATTGATTTAGGCTCAATAACTTTGGATCACGTCAATACTCAATACATAAAACAGCGGAACAAAATATGCAACTATTATTTTCAAACTAAATTCATGTTGTAAGTGCATATTTGGATAGCTTCACCATATATATTCCAAACAACACACACAATTCACATGTTAAAATTAATCCACATATGCTTCAAGAGTAATCAGATGCATGGACAAATTAATAATATATGTGGACATTTTTTATTTTATAACTCTTCAGGAGTATGACAATTAAAGCATAAGATATATAATTTTTTTTTTCTCGTTCATCATCGAAAATAATCCTTACCAGAGGATAATGTCTGCTACATATATCTTACATGCGTTACCACTTTCAAATTTTAATAAGTAATGTGAAGAATGATATGATATATGCAAACAAGAGATGATCATATACAAATAAGGACAATTAAATCAAGTAAATATATAGTCTTATAGAAGATAGATAATTCTATCATATATCTCACATAAAAAAAATTATACTTTTGTATATGTGCTTCTGGCACTAGTACAATCTCAGTAAACTACTTTTATATCACTATTCGTAATATATTGTGTCCATGAGTATTGATTTGGTTGGATTTCATTATTCTCATGTATTACTTCAGGAATGCAAACTGTTCATAACAGATCATGAAATATTCAATATCATCTTAATTCAAAATTAGTCATCAAGACTTACTCACAGTGTAGTCATATTTTTATTTTGATACTTGTATTGGTGTTGATCCTGCAGGGAGTATACCAAAACATTATTTTGAATTTATGGGAGATACTTACGTCGATGTTGATCCATCGGGGAGTATAAAAAAAATATTTTTGTCAACTTATAAAAGATCCTTCAGGGAGTGTATAAGAACTTCATTGTCGACTTACAAGCTATCGACAGGTAAAACATTGTTCTAATTATTCTATCCATCAATATTTAATATTAGTGTCCTTCTGGGACTACTAGTATTAAATTGAATCTTATACATTTAGAGAGATAGATATTTTTTAAATAATATTTCATCATTTTCATAATTGCACATCTCTATCTTCTCATCCAACCTTTTTATAAAGATGATCATAAATTGAGCTATACAACATAAATAATTTATATTCAATATTTCCATAAATTGAGCTTTAATTCACAACAAATATAATCGCATCACATATATCAAATTCACAATCTATAATCGGCAATTGCAATTCACACAGGTAGGCCATAAACTTTTAATTGGCAAAATAATCATGCATAAACACATGCGTGAATGATCGACGGTAGATACGGGAGGAAGAACGTGAATGATCGACGGTATGGGATTCCAAAACCCAGACTTCTTGTCCCTTTTTTTTTATTTAATTATTATATTTTTTTTATAATAACCGCCCAGCGGCGGCAGATCTTAGCCGCGAATTACGCCGGCAAGCCTCCGTGGCGACAATCGCCAGCAGCAGCGAGGTGTTTCGAAAATCGGAGACGGGACATCGAAATTTTGAAGATGAAAATTAGTTCCAGAATAATTTTCAATTCCCAGATTTCACCAATTCCCAGAATTTTGAACACGAAATTAGTTCCAAAGACGGCTCTTGCGTAGAGAAAAATCGCAGACCGAGTGCAAGCAAATCCCAGATTTGGGCATACAAACAATTAGCAGATTACGAACAGAATTCCAAATTCTTTTCTTACTTTTAGTTTAACTTATTATCAAAACAATTTCAATTATTATAAATTAACTAAAACATCGTTAGCAGATTTGATCCATATAAATCCAAATCAATATGAAATAGCTATGAACACCGTCCCGGTGCTCAGATTGTCAATATATAATTATTGATGTTGAATAGATCTTGAATATTACCATGACAGAAAACACACAATTCTTTTCTATGGCATAAATCAATTCTTGATTGTTACCTTGATTGTCCGTTCATCTTGATGCCATCGTTGTTCGCTCAATTGGTTAGAGTACTCGTGCTGATAACGTGTTGTATTATAGATTGACAATATGTAAGATAGACAAGATAGAAACAGTAGAAGAAGAAGAGAATAAGAGAGAAGAGATACGCCGTAAAAAACCATCATCTTATTCATTCACTTGAGCCCTATATATAAGGGAATATAATGTACATGAGTAAATACCTAATGGGCTCCTGGCCCATGCCTACAAATCCTATATCTAGGTAATGTCCACAACTTAATATTTACAACATAAAGATCTTTTAACAAATGTTTGTTAACAAAATTTAAAATTTGTAATTTAATTCTAGAAAATTAGTTGATTAATTTGAATGACAAGATTACCAACAACAAATCTAGAGAATTTTGAGATTAAATATACATAAAAAAATATAAGGGGATTATTGTGTAGTTCAAATTTGGGTTCCTAATTTAAAATGTAACTAAATAATTATTCATAACTTATGGGTCAATGATAACTTGGACGTAAATAGAATAATCAATTATTTATTGTTTCATTAATAACTGAACTATTTTAATGTATTGTTTTAGAGAGTTTATACAAAAATAACTTTATTTTAATCAATGAAACAATATAAATTCAATATTATACTTATTATTCACATAGATGTTTAAACATAGGAATTACAAAATAATTATTTTATGGACCACATTGTATTCAAAATGAATTTATGAATAAAATTTTTAAAATGACACCTATTTTGAAATGAATATAATATAATTTATTATCAGTTATGTCCACAGTACGGGTTGTGTACTAACGTTTAACAAACATGTTTCATGTAATTTTGCACAATTTAATTGATATAACATTTGAATAAATTAATATAGGTAAATTATATTACATATTGATTCTATATTTTTAATTTATATAATATTATTTAATGATCATTTTTAAATTACCAATATTAATGAAAATATCTTATACTAGTTAAATTTCTTAAAGAAACTATTGGTTTCATTTTTCGTTCAATTACTTCATTGCGAGCTTCATCGGGTGGAAAATCCCAAAGGAATATGATGATGGCTTCTCCTTCATCTCTATCTCCGCCGGAGATATCCATGGAACTACACATGGCCAACCGAAAGAAGCTATTAGGTTCACTTCGCGACCATCTATCTCTCTCCTCTCGCCATCTCAGTGGCTTTGTCCTTCTGCAGGTATCGAAAATTTCTTTTACGGTCTATTTTGGAGCATTTCTGTTGATATTATTCGATTTTCCTTTCAACTTCGCAGGGTGGTGAAGAGCAGACTCGGCACTGTACCGATCATATCGAATTGTTCCGGTAATGTGTGAGATTCTTCTACTTTTTTTTTTGGCCTTTTGTTAATTGTGTAAATGGATTATATATTCACATTCACATTCTTTTACACTGTTCCTGTGGGTACTGAGTTAGGAATTTATATATTGAGAATTCTTAATTCAGTTGTGTTTATTAGGGTTGATGATAATCAGGGTCAGTGTCAGGTTCTGTAATAACAACATTTTACGATTTCTATTACTTTATAACTGGTGTAAGGTGTGTTATACGCTCAGGCATTGAGTACATAAAGTCGGGAATCAATGGTCGCTAATTATATGGAAGTTAAAATGTCGCCTACGTTCGTTTATTGCATTTTCTTGTTGTGCTGCTTACTTGCAACAGATGTCGTTTGCTGGAATTTAATGACAAATTCTTTTATTTCTTTAACTCGTTAATCAATCATTCAATTATAGACTCTTTAGTCAATCATTCCCGAGAATGATGCCATATATTATCTTTTATATCTTTTATTATAACCGGCATCCGAATGCAAGCCATATCCTCCCAAGTATCTTTAAATGAACATTGTATATGGGGATCTTAGATGTAGTAACTCTGGAAGTTTATGTATTCTAGGTGACCTAATAGGCTAATACATAGTAGAGGATCATCATCGTCATTTAAGCCATTTTTAACCATCATAAGTTACCTCTCTACTCTAATCCAATGTGAATGCTTACATTGTGTTTTAGCAGTTCTCCTGAAAGGCAACTGTCCTATTTGGATCCTTCTACTTTACTTAATCTTTGGGAATGTGAATTAGCTTGAGAACAATTTCCAAACACTTCAGTTTTACATGACAACACTAATCGTGAAGCGAAGTAACCACATACATTGGGCTGAATTAGTGTTTATCCCTGAACTTGGAAAAGTCAGTTAACAATTTCAGTTAATAACGAACTTCTTTCTAATGTGAAACTCTGTAGAATCTTTATGCTTAGTGTGTGTTTCATTGAAGGAGAATTGGTATAATCAGTGTTCCACGAATCAGGCTAGCTTCATTGAGTGGCTTTATAGCATTTGATAGTCCCACGATAGTGACCCCAGCCCGAACTTTTAGTAAAGAAAGACTGCAGAGGAATAAATTATCTGCCAGTTGTGAGAATTGCGTATATTAACTTCATCGGTGATATTATTTGTTGTTGACATCCATAGGAGATTTGCATCGTATTTAATAAGTTCTTGATTGTTTATTCAAATTGACCTTTCTGCTTCTCTTTCTTTTTGTAATGATGGTTATCTGTTGCTATTACTAATTTGTGGTTACATTGATCCCCAGTCAGGAAAGCTATTTTGCTTACTTGTTTGGAGTGCAAGAACCTGGGTTTTATGGCGCTATTGTGAGTTTAATATAATTTAATCTTTTAATGTATTGCGATATTTAAAAGAGGAGTGTTTTGTGTATGTGAACAAGACATACTGATTTTTTTAACAAATTTGGTAATGTCCCAAATCAAAATGTTTAGTTGGGTCTTTCCTTCTCTCTGTAAATATAAGTACAGATATTAACTCGTGTCATCTAGCTCAGTAGTGTTCTGGCTGAAAGTGTTGCTCACCTCATGTCAATCTAAACATTTAGGCCAAGAAGGACATAGACAATGAACTGAAATCTCATGTCAATTATTATTTATAAATTTTAAATGGTATTTATGTGCATGCAATGAAGTAGTCAACATTCTGGTTCATTTGATGAATCAAGATTGAGATTATTGGTAGCCTGTAGATAAATATGTTCTTTCTTCCACGATAGTAATGTTGACATTTCTCGTAAGATGGCAGTACCGGTTTCTGTTTCATGAAAAAACCTTAATGCCAATTGTTTTATTTGTATATGAAGGATATTGCGACTGGTGAATCATTACTTTTCGCTCCGAGATTACCTGATGATTATGCAGTTTGGTTGGGAGAAATTAAGCCTCTGTCCTACTTCAAGGTGATTGTAATCTAAAAGGTTAACAGGCCAGAGTATTGAAGACGATTGTAAATCAGAAGTTAGAATAAATGGTTGTCTTTTGCAGGAAAGATACATGGTTAGCTTGGTTTACTATACTGATGAAATAACAAAAATTTTGCATCACCAATACCAAGGACCGGGAAAACCATTGCTTTTTCTTCTGCATGGGCTCAATACTGACAGTAACAACTTCTCTAAACCAGCATACTTTGAGGTTACTATATTTTGTTGGTTTTCATCGTATTTTTATTATTAAAACTCGCATAAGAGCACACTTGGATATAGATATACTTATGATGGCAATCTCAAAGATACTGCTTTGTGAGATTCTAGTTGTAATACCTTACATATACGCATGCAAGTATACATATATCATATTAGCTTGTCCAAATAAATGCAAGAATACATGTAAATGATAATATGCGCCCGCATATTGGGATGCCAGGAAATACTTAAAACTTATGTGTACACACACACGCATTCTCAGCTGTACTAATGCATGTATACAATGGTTTGAATTACACCAAGCTTGTAAAACCAGGAACATAGAAACAAAGGTGTAAATCCTAATAATACTGCTTTCTATAACTGTCCAGACACCATCCTAATTAATGATTTATAGTCAGCAATAATCAATTAAGCAGAAACCAGATGGACACTGCATAGATTGATGTGTGAGGCCAATTTGTTGGATCTTGATGCATTGTTGCTGCTATCTGTTAGAGCTGATTATATGCACATATTCTGTCAGGGGATTGACAGCTTCGAGACAGATTTAAATTCACTACATCCCACTTTGACTGAATGCCGAGTCTTAAAGTCTCCGCTTGAGCTTTCTGTCATACAGTTTGCCAACGATATAAGCTCTGAAGCCCATGTTGAGGTTGACATTCTTGAACTTTTCCCATAAGATACTCGAGTAATGTTTTTTATGTTTTGGGGATTGAATATGCATGAGTCTTTTTGGCATTATCTTTATATTTTATAGTGGTTTAAGAAATTGACTGCACGAGCCACTCGATCAATAGCGCCTTATAGTATCATCATTTGCAATTAAAAAGTAGCCCTAATAAAGGGTGGAAAGTGTCCTCCCACCCTCTGTCGGTGATAATGGAAAAGAAGAGACATTTCACACCATTTTATGACCTTCCAGTTACTAGTTCCATTCTGGCTATGGGAAAGGTGTTAGGGAATGTTGTTATTTCGCTGAATGCCCGGCACTTGCGCTAGAAATATTCTTTTTTCAGTGACATGGGACTCGTAAAATTCTATCAGGCTGTAATACGATACTAGTTCTGCTCAATATAATCGTGGCTGAATCATTGTTCAAGTGTTACATATATTTTTGACATCTAAACTGAACATGGAACTGTTATTTTGTGTTATCATCCGAATTAATTTGAAATATTAGATATATTTAATACGTTGATGGATTATTTCACAGGCTACTTATTTTATTTGCACCACAACAGATGTACTGCCCATTCACTGATCTAATGGACTTTAGTGTATATTCAAAACATTTACTAGGTTTTTACCCTCTGAATCTATCTAAGTGCAACAAAACTGAATAGTCCTCTTTCTGTTGTGAACTGTTGTATTGGTTACTGTTGTTTTGTATAATAGCAAAATGACCAATTTTTCTGATTGAGTTGGTGTTTCAACTTGTATTGTTTTGGCATTATTATCTTAATAAAAAAGAATCTGTTTCTTTTATCTCGAACTTCAGGAATAGAGTAATTTTCTTGATCATCGTGTAATGGTCTTATCATCTGGAGGATAGATTGAGTTAATGATTTTTTTTTTTAAAAAAAACAAATAGATATCAAGAAAGTCCAGTACAAGATTTGTTTAATTTTGCATAAATTTGTAATGCAGACTCGTATATGTGAATTTATGTGTTGATTGGTGAAGCTGTTCGACTTTTTGTCATTGTTTGTTGAGTAGGTTATGAGGAATGCAAAAGTAGGCATGAAAGAGTATCAGTTGGAGAGCTTGTTTCTTCATCACACTTATATGTATGGTGGCTGTAGACACTGTTCATACACATGTATATGTGCAACTGGAGGCAATAGGTATGTTTTTCTCCTGTTTCCCTATGTACATGGTTATTGATTTTCTAAAAAATGTACTCAGCCTTTTATAATGAGCTAACGGACTATAGACATGTGTATCAATGCTTCCACTTTTAGTTAATTGTACTATCTTATTTCAGTTCTGTGCTCCACTATGGTCATGCAGCTGCACCTAACGACAGGGTATGTTAGCCAGTTATGTGTTTCCATCTGAAGTATTATGATTGAGATACTAAATGTTGACATGCTCAAGTTGGAATTAGATTTTCGCATAGCTTACGATTCCACTAATTTCCTTTTTCTTTTCTTTTCTATTCTTTTCTCTTTTGCGCGACCAGATGTTTGAACTTGGGAAAATTTATATCTATCTATATCTATATAATAACACAACGCCTATTAGTCCTTTTGACAAAGATTTTTCCGCTCAAAATATTGGGCCAAAATTGGAAAGTTTGGTGGTTTTTAATTAAATACATATAATAATATTATAATATCATACAAAACAACCATGTGGAAAACGAATACGAAAATGAAAGAGAGTTAAACAACTATTTTAAGTATCAAGTACATGACAATAAAGTGACAAACTAATGGGTTCTCTAAAACCATAGGCATTAATTTACTCAAAAAGAAAAATCGAATGTTCACAAAATATAATTATATTAAATTAAACAAATAATCATTAACTTATCAAATAATGTAGTTGGAAATCATACAATTTTATAAATTTGAACATAATTGAAATATAAAGTTATTATTATGAAAATTTAATAAAATAACAGCATTACTCAATAATATATTATATTACAATCTGTGCAATGCTCGGGTTAGAGACACTAGTGAAAAATAACAACCCAGTCATTGTAGTTTAAATGACAGATCTTGCAGAAGAAGTTGCCCTAGGAACAAGGAGAAGGTAATTTTTCTCTTAAGTTTTAGGTAACTAAGTATGTTGTTGTGAAAATAGGTGAAGACATAAACAAGTGAGTAGAAAAATAAGCTTCGGGGTATCATGCCATGAAGCTCTTTGATTGATAGAGTATGATTCATATCATAGATTACTCCATTGGAGTCCAGTGGGATTCAAAACGTAGAGGTTTAAATTTCGAACAGTCCAAAATGGGATCTCAGTTTTCAGTAAATTATTGAAAAGAAAATTTTCACTTAATGGCTAAAGAAAATAAGAAATATTTTCACTTAATGGCAAGTGCAACAAAATATTTCTGTTTGTCTAAGTAAATACGTACTTAAAAGAAAATTCAAACATCTCCCACCCTACCCCACCCATCATATATCGTTTTTGTAATGTACTTAATTGCGACATCTATCCAGTTGACTTATTTTGTATCATCCTAACTTTAGAGTTCCAACCATTCTGAAAAGAGTGTGATTTAATTTACTGTTTAGTTATTATCTTATTTGTTACTCACATAATTATTATTCATATTTTATTTAGACTTTGGAAGATGGTGATATGGCATTGCTTGACATGGGAGCTGAATACCATTTTTATGGTTCTGATATAACTTGTTCCTTCCCGGTAAGCATAGATATTAACACAAACTCGTGGACTCAAATATATGATTCTTCTTCAGTATATTAATTGTTTCTCATGTTTCCTATCAAGTACAAAGCAGGCTAACAACAGCTGATGGCATTATATGTCTCTAGTTATAACTGTAAGATGTATTAACCCCGTAAAATAACTGGAAGGTGTATTAACCCCAAATAATGTCAGAGATTGTCTTTAAATGATTTTACTTTCTCGCAAATCTTCAGGCAGTCGGGCATTGGACACTGCACATTATGTTAGCCCTCAGATTTTCTTTCCCCCAGGATACACCGTGAACCGCCTAAAACATTGGAAAAACTTGTTTGTCATATAAGTACTTAAAAATTTTTGTCCATTTGCTGACAACTAGTTTTTTTTACAATTTTGTTAGACTATGAAGGGTTTTAGTTTGTGATGGTCATTACTGAAAATCCGGGTCTTATTTTTCACAAAAGTTGTGTTGTGACTATATTTGTACAATAATGGTGCGAAATCTGATGGTGCTTACAGGTAAATGGGAAATTTACACACGACCAGTCCCTTGTTTATAATGTAAGTTTATACTTTATACCGACCATATACTTGGCCACAATTTCACGTTACAGAAGTTTGTGCTTTTTTTCTTCAATATTTTCCTATTATTTAAGCATTTCATCAAGTGAAAACTGAGAAGGCTCTGTCCTGACCATAACAGAGGCAAGTCTAATTATAAGAGTCCAGAGGAAATGGTGTACATCACATCAAAATGAAATTCCCGTCACTGCATTTGCTAACATGCAGGAGAGTGAATTGCTAAAGGAAAATGTGTTAAGATTGTAGCCCAATTAAGAACTCTATGTAGAATTGATCAATCCTAGAGGCTAGAGGCAGTACTTGTAGTACTTAATTAGATCACAGAATTTATAGACCTAGTTTGGTGAAAATGGAGGTCACTATCATTTTTGAATCAGACTTTTACGTGATATGATACATTTTTAGGAAAACAGCAATGATCTAGTCTAGTAACTACTGGGTGTGTTACGATTTTTCATGTGCAGGCTGTTCTTCGTGCACATGATGCCGTCATATCCAGCATGCGACCTGGAGTAAGCTGGGTTAACATGCACAAGTAAGAAACTGAAGCTTGATTGCTCTCTAAAATTTAACTGTGATTGCCCTAGTTATCAGTAAAGTTTTAGTAAAGTATTGCAAAAATTGTAACGGTGACAAAAAGTGAGACTTGTTTTTTGCATTCTCTGTGACAAGCTGACTTCAAATACTCTATGAACACAGAGCTTAAGGAGGACAGAATTAAGAATCTTACTGGATATTTTTGTAGAATGAATAATCACAAAAGAAGCTTTAAGATCCTCTATATATTATCCTGTATTACTGTTCAAGCACTTCCAGTCTAAATTTGGACTTGCACCACAAGTAATTTGTTGCGGCCAACAATTGAGTGGCTAACTCTGCACCTCAAATATTTTAGAGGGAGATTTAAACAGAATTCTTAAAAGGATATTAAAATCACAATTCTTAAAAGGATATTAAGATCACACTTTCGAGAGTGACTAACACCTTCTAGAAGACCAGCTGGCGCCAAAGCTAATGCAAATGACACAATTCTATAGCTAGGGAAAATTTAATAGGATGATGATGGTATTTGGTTCTGGATTTTTATTGATGAAAATGTTAAATATTTTTCTTCCCTTAGCGAAATCTGGAACAGACGTAGCTTAAACTGTTTACATTCTGCATTTAGTTTTTTTTTTGCATTCTGTATGGAGATTGAATGAGATGTTGCAGATCTGTTAACTGCGAACTGCTTGTGTGGTGCTGGCACTATTTTCATTCAATCTTTCCTCAGACAGTTACTTTAGGAGATGTCCTAAGTAGCTTAACTTCTTATTTTCTGTCATGCATCTTAAAGTAACAAGACTTCTTATTAGATTGGAAATATATGGACTTTTAGGTGCTATTTAATAGAATCATTTACTATGGTGGCAACGTTCTATCACAGTTGTGCCTCTCATCTCATCCAAATGGCCTGATTTCCTCATGGAGATCGAACACTTCAAGATTCTCCGAAACTATACTTTAACAAGGGTGATCCGCTTTCTTTTAGTATTTTGATCTGGAAAAGGAAATCACTCATGTGCTCCACCTTCTTAGCTCCTTAGATATCATACTAGTTTAAATGATTTTGTGGATGGTCTTGGTGTTCTTAAATGAGGATGACTCCTAGATACTGCCGCTTTTTTTTAGTTATAGCTGGTTTTTATTTGAATCATTTGATGTGATGGCTCTCCTCCCACAGGCCCTAATCATCTAGTTAAATGAGTTGACAGTTCTAGACTATAATATTTTGTCTGTAACTCATTGTTTTTGCCAACCAAATGACTCTTAATTAGATATGGAGTTATGTCTCCTCAAAATTTGTCTTTGAGTTTATTTTAGTACATTTTCTCTGATTTCCAGGTTGGCTGAAAGAATCGTTCTGGAATCGTTGAAGGAAGGACACCTCCTAACTGGGTATATGTCATATCACATATTCCTCCACTTCCTTTTATGCCTATATTGGTGCAGAAGTGATCTAATTGTGGCTCTTTTATTCTTGAAGTGATGTTAATGATATGGTTCAGGAGCGACTAGGTGCTGTTTTTATGCCCCACGGCCTTGGACACCTTCTGGGAATTGATACTCATGATCCTGGGGGTTATCCGAAGGTGTTTTGCATATTTCTGTGCTCATAATTCTGCTGTTTGCATTATTAATTGCACTTACAGTCCGATTTCACTTTTAATGGCCTCATATAGGGAGCAGAAAGGCCTAAAGAACCTGGTTTGAAGTCGCTGCGTACGAGCAGAGAACTCTTGGAAGGCATGGTATGAAATAGAAAGAAGCTGTCTTTATGGAGATACATGTGTTGGTTGAGATTTATTCTTAATTAGTAATGGTGCCACTTGTGTTCTATGTAGAGCTATCAGTTATCGTCCTCCACTGATTACAAACAAGAATCATCTATTGTCCCAATTTGGTTGCTTGATGCTGTTTAGACGTGTCCTTGATTGACTCCTCGCTGAATGTATCCATATAGTAGAAAGCCCCATAAAATAACATTACAATTATCTACATTAATGTGTTGCGTATGATCCCTTTGCTTTCCAATAGTGTTAGTAATTGGTGTTTAGTGTAGTCGTAACTATAATGCCAGTGCGGTTAATGCATCTCCTCTCAATATTTACTTGCAGTGACACATTCTTCACTACCTGAACTTCAGTTATAATCCGAATTATAAATATATGCTAGTTTACAAAGTGCTCTGAGACGGTTGTTGCTGCAGGTGATAACAGTGGAACCCGGATGCTACTTTATCGACGCCTTGTTACTTCCAGCAATGGAAAATGAACAAACATCAAAGTATTTCAACCATGTCCAGATCAAGCGATTCAGAGGTTTTGGCGGAGTTCGAATTGAGAGTGATGTGGTAAAGTTGCTTTGCGTCCCAACCTTTCTTTTGCATTAAGACTATAATCTGAAATCTGTGCTCATTTGGGTTGCTATTACCTGAATGTATTGACCACATTATGCATCCCTTTAAAGTGCTCCTTCTAGGTGTTGATCCTAATGTTTGAATCCACTTAAGAAATGGAGAGTTGGTCGGTTTAAATGTCATTACATTCTTGTTCGCTTACATGCTACTGTTGGTGGCGTCTAGTAAAGTATCATGGCATTAACATACGGTTCTGCGCGTAAGGACTTCCCATTATTATATTGGTCCGACTAGTCTTTCTATTTACTTGTTTATTTATTTGACATTTACTTATCTCGCGTTGATTGTGGAAAGTTTTGGAAATCACGAAAAAGAAAGGACTTCATATTTTGCCCTTATTTAGTCAAATGTTGTTTAGAAAATGCAGAATAGTTAAGGCTACTATGGTTGAAGAATGGATAAAAATACAATAAAGAAGTTATAGAAAGTGGAATATGGATTTGGGATGTCCGGAAAAGGAATATTAGGTTAAATCAGAAATGCTATGGAGCCATCAGATGGCTCCCTCCCTTATGGAGTCATTCATAACTTTATATACTGCCACATGCCCAAATGTGTATTAAATGCAGGACACATGTCAATACACCATTTGTGAATAACTATGGATGACTCCATAAGCCGAGTCATCCGATGGCTGCATAGCAAAACCGTCCTGGACTTGGGGATTATTATTCTTTCTAAATTTCAACTACTATGAGTAAAAAATAAAAATACTCTCAACTCACTGAGTTGTTCATCTAGTTTTTTTCTAGCACTACTTATGAATTTCAAGCCATACTTATGAATTTCAAGCTGTACTTATGAGTCGAGTTATCATTTCGTTTTTTGGTGCATCTACTTTTTTTCCCAGTATGTCACTCCAGATGGTTGTTTGAACATGACCAAGTGTCCACGGGAGATAAAAGATATCGAGGCTGTTATGGCTGGTGCCCCTTGGCCGATTAGCAAGACTAGTGGTTTTATTCCTTCTGCGAGTGAGAAAACCTAACAGGCCGAGGCTTTTGGGTAGTTGACTGTAACATCCCTCCAACAGAAATCATCCTGGCCTTTTCATTTCTGTTGCTAAATTAGCAGACTGGATTTATAAACGTTTGTCACCTTAAGACTGTTGTTTTATATTTTAATTATCATTTTGATGGTGAAGTTTAGTCTCTTTATTGTCATTTTTTTTTAAAAAATAATCAAGCCCTAAGGGCTCGCTTGTTTATTAAATAATTTGTCCAAAATGAGTTATTTTGGTTAACCATAGTTAATTTTAGGAAAATGGATATAGTTAGTTGTTAGTAGAATTTTAAGAATGTATTAAATAATATTTAAAATAAAATGATGAAAAATTGATTTAATGTAAAAGTATGAGATAAATGATTAGAAATGAGTGGAAATGATAAGTAGTAAAAATTATGTGTGGATGAACGGTGAATTAAAGTTGATGTAATGTGTAAAAATGATTAGCTTGTATTATTTAATTATATGGATAATATTAAAGATAGTGGAGCTGAGTTAAAGTTGAGTTTAGATTTTGAGTATGAAATAAATGTGAGTAAAATAACTTATAAACGATCAAGCCCTAAAGTACACATATAGACCACTTTAAATTTCATATATCTCAATGTAAATTTGATATTTATCTTATTCTATTGATCGTTACTAGTCCACGCCTACTCAATGTAAATGTGATATAAACATTAGTTACTATAGATAATATTTCAAACAATGGTGTTCATCCACTATAATATTAAAAGATCTTATAAATCCACAGCAATTGAGGTCATTCACTATAATATGAAAAGACATAAAAACCCAACATTTGCAAGGATAATGTGACAACAATATTTATATACAACATGTAAACACAAACAAGAAGTTTAATGTTTAAGTAAACTAAACAAAATGTAAAGATCATATAACTGAGAAAAATGTGTACACCATAACCAAACCTATTATAAACTGCAAATATACAATGTTGTTGTTATTAATTGAACTATATTTAAACATTATAAAACTTGCAGAGGTACTCTAGTTTTCGAATCGTCGTCTAATCTTTGTAACATAGATGAAGGGGTGAGCCTTGCAGTCGGAGACGTCGCTGGCCCTCGAAGGCATGAGGCGTGAACGCTCAAGAGTGTGGTGGTGCACGAGGCGCAGGGGGAGGCATCGAGCAAGGTCTGGTTGAAGGTGGCGGTGCGGCTGACTCAAAGTTCGATAGGGCTCAGTAGCGTTGACAACTCGTGGGGTTCAGCAGCGACGCGACACCTAGGTCTGGCTCGTGGGCGGATGACTGGCGTCTGCTAGCCACAGAAATTCAGATGGTTGCGCAGCCGCAAACCCCGCTTGCAGCCGCTAGTTTCCGCCGCCAAAAGTCGTTGGACACCG